GAAATCCTTGCTTTAACATGCCCTTTAAAATTTTAAAAGAGGCCCGGTAGCCTACGCAATAGAATACTTTATTTTCGTAAATGTGATGTATTCATGAGTTTTCCTTCATTTCAATGCCACATCTCTTGAACCCTGCGTGATATAAATTTTTCATAATGATATTCGTAGTCAAGGAGATCGCTTCCTTTGAAATCACTTACCTTCATCCTGGAGGTAATGATAACTCACTTCCATGCCGCGAGCACACTTTCAATCACATCAAGTGACCCCGCGGCAGTCAACTTTCGTTTTAACAGTTAATGTCTTGTTAACTGTTGAAGGTAAATGTTACAGTGTTGTTACGCACTTTAACTGTTAAAGTGTGCGCGTCGGGATGTTGCCCAGGCCCGTGACAAATCCGCAATGCCACGCGACTGTCGATTGTCGTGAATGTCGATCCTTCAAGGCAGTTGCTCTTCGACATTGAGTCACAGAAACTCGATTTGATGTTAAAGTTTAACATCACATCGAGTTCCTGTTGCTGTTCTGAACGAGGGCCCGGAAGAATAGACTCCGTATCGCGCGGCACTGGGGGCTTTTCACGGGCGGGGCCAACACGCCCACGGGCACAACTTAACAGGGAAAGAGCACACTGTAACAGTTTAAGTGCACACTTTAACAGTTAATAATTTTTTAACATTTAATAATACTTGAACAGCTAATAACACTTTAACAGTTAACATGCCGCGGGCCTTCTTTAACAGTTAAACTGTGCTTGCAGCATGCAAGTATTATTAACATTGACCGCCAGCATTCTATTACACTTAGCCAGGAAAAAAAAGAAGAATGTCTATACTCTAGGATGAAAGAAGGTGACTTCTAAGGAAACGATCATTCTGAATTCGAAAATCATTATAAAAAGTTTTTATCGCGCAGGGTTCAAAATATATTAAAATATTTAGTATCTGAAATAAACTAAATCCGATTTGCCACTCCAGGTATATTACTACAAAAGTTTATGAGCATGCTTCATATCAAGTTCAAAATGGAAAACACATTAACTGATACTGATACGCAAAATGGATTACTGATAATTCGTCATTGTGTGTCACAGGTCGCTTGGCAGAAGATTTATGTGGATAATTGATCTGGACACGCCAGATGTCTTTACCATGAGGAAGTAACAGCCATTAAAATGGCTCATTGTAATTCTCCGCAAAATTGGTACAGCGAATGTCATTGATTTGAGATTTCCATACAACTACAACCTAAGGTTCATTGTACAGGTAACACAACACTAGTGAGCAGCTCATGGTGTGACCTGATGACACGACAAAGTATGAAAAATATGCAAGTTTTGTAAATTCACTTTTTTCCCCTTCGAAGTTTGGGTGTAAATCTTCCACAAACGTAAGAGAAGTTATAGGGTTGATTCGCACATTTTCGATGTGAAATGACAATTTTCATTTTATCTAACCGATTCTATTCAACTGATCATGTGACGAATTTCACTTTATAAAACCAACAGAACTGCAATGTATTAATGTATTTGAGGCATACGCACACCAGACACGAACTTCACGCGCACTGCGGGTGCATTCCCGCGTGACATCAGCGACTGACTCAAAATCCGCAACCCCATCAGTTGGATACTTCCAAGTGTGACAAGGGAAGGGGCTAAAATCATTCGTTTAGTGATTGACGCGCAGTAGGAAATAAGGCAGTGCACATGAATTGTTTTCAAAGTTAGATCATGTAGCCATAGACTAAAAAAAGAAATTACTTATTAATGAAGCTTAAATTCATCGCACCTTTCTGCCTTATTAATAATTAGATAAGATAGGAAGTTCTGAGTAAGAGTGTTCTGCAGGAGGAAGATTTTGATATCATTCTAAGGATATTTAAATTTATGGAGGAAATAAGCTTTCGATGTGAAATTATTCTTTCTCATAAAATGAAGATTAATAAAATAATACCAAGTCTTACTAAGACCGTTCCGATTACAAATGTAATAATGTATAAAAATCCTTGGATGCAGCAAAAGATGTGTATGTCAAATTATAGAGTACGTTTTATACTCACCATACCAAGAACGCGAAGAAAAAATTTGGAGTCTTTTTTGAGAAATTCTTGTTTTTGATAATTTTTAATATTGCACATATTTCACTGAATATTCCGGGAAAACTACTAACATTTTCAAAAACAATTTGTATGGACGTAATGAAAGAACTAATTATGGAGAACAAATTTAATTTGAAGAAAAAATCTGTATCTTCAATTGTGTAGTTGTAGGAAGACGCCGAAAAAATTCAATGTTTAACAATTTTCAAAAATTCAGAGTTATCAGTGAAAAACGGACTTATATCATCTTTAAAAATACATTTTCTCTATTCTTACAAAAATTTAAAGAAATATATTGGAGCCATTTTTGAGAAAATTTTGAAGATGTCCCAGGAGCTTCATGTAAAGTATCCCAAACATTACAGAATGTTATTCAAAATCGCAGAGCTTCGAGTGGGGCCAGATAGGGGTATATTCAGTTGGAAGAAATCCTACGCATAGTTTAGGCGCTAGCGTTGTTCACAGACGACAGATGGACAGACGAAACGAAAGAAATTTAGCCAATGGACAGACGTTTTGAAGAAAAAAAAAACAACGATCATAATATATCAAGGACTCACAACTTCTGTAATCTAAATACATAACGTGTTAGAGGGAGTAGTTTATTACATTTTAGAACAGGATTTATCAACCTTTTCTGTATCAGGACCCTCCAATACGAGCTTTTCTGTCGAAAATTGGCGTTTATTGCCGCAGCATTACATAACTTTCTCTATACTACATGCATTACTCCACATATACGTGCGTATATTAGAAGTAAAAAAGCGTAATGGAAAAGGGGCCAGTAATGTAGTTGCTCCCCCCCCCCCTGTATTTACACTTGCTTTGGGTCGAGCGCGCCTATCCTTTTCTTTACTATTTGGTGCGTGACCTCATTGACAAGACTTTGATGGGGATGATTTGAGAAAATTGTACTTGCTGTTTTTTTGTTGTCCTAAAACTATTGACAACAAATAATGGTGGTCCAAATAACGAGAAGTGCTTTGTTTGTAGTTTCCTATTTATTTTTCTTTTTAATATAAATAGGATCTACTGTACAAAAAAACAAAACAAAATGCAAACCGCTTTTAGGCGTCTGCTTTTACTTGCCCCTGCAAAATCCGCGTTTAGTGTTCCTTTGACCTGCACTTCACACACACACACACACACACACACACACACACACACACACACACACACACACACACACACACCAGGATTAAGGTCTAATAGTGCTGTTCCAAAAATTTGGAACAGCACTATGATTAATGTTGGTGCTGGTATCCAGGAGATTCATATCTAAAGCAATTTTTATCCAAAAATCGTAATGTCTGTTGGAAGAATGGAAATATGTGTCATGCAACTCCGTACAAGCTTTTGAGCTGAAATTTGATATGAACGTCAGCTGTAAGATCTAGTTGTGCCATTCCATAATGCATTTAAATATTTTAATTTTTGGAGTTACTTCACATGATGCCCAGCAAAGGCGGATTCAGCCTATCATTTTGGAAGAGCTATCATATATTTTTATTGAATAGTAAACATTTGTTATTATATTTATGATAAATAAATAAAGATGTCTGGTATCAATACTTTTTATTCAGCTTATGATCATTTCGATCGCATAGCGATCATCCTCAGAGCTGCCGGCAGAACTTTGTTTTCGGCCCGGAAGCTGCAAGCTCTGAGGATGATCGCTATGCGATCGAAACGATCATAAGCTGAATAAAAAGTATTGATACCAGACAACATCTTTATTTATCATAATAAAAAGGTATCTACCTCACCAGCGATCTAATTAATATTATATTTATATTATTTTTGCAGTGTATATATGATATTATACAACACTATTTTCCCAATAATTACATTATTCTAATATAAATGTTTTAATCAATTTGCTGAATAAAAGAAGGGAACGAATGAAAACTCTAGGTCTTTGAGGGGGGGGGGGCACGGTTCCATGTCCCCCACCCTGGATTCGCCTGTGATACCCAGTGACATTTTCAAAAATTTCTTGAAAATGTCAGCAATTTTTAAATGCTGGTTCTGTTTCTGTTTTTCATTAAGAACTACCGAAAAATATAAAAGTTCAAATTTATACTCCTCCGATATTACAGAGTTTTTTTCACCAAGCAATTAATCTCCCAATTTTATTTCTTTAAATTATGCCATGCACTTAAAAAATTGTGAATAGTCGTTGAATACGAAGAGGAAAATTTTCGGTATGCCGCGCATGACCACTAGAGTCATTATCGGTTTCAAAGAACAGCATTTCTTGATTTCGAACACTTGGCACTCATTACACAGAATGAAATAGATTATTACTAAGTAAAAGAACATGTGGAGCTACAGTACTTTAATCCGGGATAGCAAACACAAGAATTTGCCGTGCGGTAAATACCACGCATATGGCATGAAAAAAAAAATGATCCCGCCATCGATACAAATATACATCTCACATTCAGAAACCCGTGAAAAATAACAAAATAAATTTTAAGTTAGAAAGCAATTTTGTTTTGAAGTTATTCCTCCTTTTATTTCAATGATAAATGGTGCGATCAAATGATGATTTTCGGCGTATGATTATAATTTTTAAGAATGGAACTAATAGAAATTGAATCATCAAATTTACACTTCGGATGATATGGTAAAAACATAATTTATTTTTATTGTGTGATTATGTTAAGCTATTTTTATTTGTTAAGGAATTTTTTCTTACAGTGCGTATTTTTCATTTTCAAACAAAGAATGAATTGGGAGAATATTGAAAAAATGTTCGGCATTAAAAATTAAATTACTGAAAATCATATTTTGACCTTGATCCCACAAGAGAAAAAAAATTGGTTGCCGAGACCATTGCCCCTCCCTTGAACCCCCCACTCCTTGCTTCTCGTTCTCTCATCTGTCGAACGGTTCCTTGTGCGTCGTTCATGAATCATTTATATCATGACAGATTCGAGAAAGCTGTGTGCCACGGCATGTTGTTGTGTACGTTTTTAGGTGAAAATTAAGTCTTTAACGTTTGTTTGGAGTGAATTGCTCGTAATGACCTTCAGTTGAAAATACAGGTGAGTGGAATGTCATTTCGCAAAGAGTCAGTGGCTTGTTTCTTCTCCTGATCCGACGAAATGTTCATTAAACACTTGGAGCATAGAGACAGAACTCATTCGCACGTGCGAGTGATGTTGTGTAGATAAGGTGGCAAACGTCAAAACAACAATGACCTCGAATTTGCTTTTTAAATGCTATGCACTCGCACATGCTAAATCAGGCGGAGAACGCCTTTCGTTATGATCTCTAAAGGCAAGCAATATAAATTGTTTTCGTATAAAATGTCGAAGTTTAAAATGTTTGTCATTTTGTTCCTTTGTATGTTTGTTTATGAATGAGTTTTGATATTTGACGACTTTAAAGACACCGTCGCTCGTTGTAGAGATTGCCTTAAATGAGGTTAAAATTCTGAGCTATTTATGACACAATCAGGGCACAAGCTCCTCTGTTTTCGCCAATCAATATAACCGATTTCAGTGCATTTGATGTCATACATATGCCTTATTTAAAATTTTAATAGTGATTCGTGAATGTTTGTAATGTGGCTACATATGTTTAATAACATTGGGTTATTGTGAAATTGATGTTGAATTATGTATTTAACAATTAATGCAAGTTCATCTGCTTAATGCTATTCTACAGCATGTGCAGGGCTTACTGTCAAATTCTGCCTATTATTAACTGGGGAGAAATTGTAGAATTACTTTGCTTTAACTGCCATTATGCTTGTCATTTCAAGTTAATTTTATTTTTCCTACATTGCTGTGTGTTCTAAGTTAACAATTATAAATTATTCTTCACCGGGTGTGCCTTGTGTGCACTTTGTGTTATCATTCATTCAATGTCAAAAAAATATTTCCAATCTCAAAAAAATGAAATTTTTGTTTAGTTGTGAATTATTTCTAGATTTCTTGATACTGTTATTGCAAGATTTCCTTACATTTTGAATAACAAAATGTTATTAGAGATATTTAAAAATATATAAATATAATATTGATAGAAAATATTCTGTAATCCAATCTTACTGTGAATAACCAACACAAATACTTTTGCTTGTTCTCACTCAATGTAGGAAAAATATTATAGATGGAACTATTCTTTGTCTGTGTGCAACATTGCAACTGAATACCTTTGTAATTACATGTCAGCTAATTGTAATTCAGATGGAATATTTTGTAAAACACCGAAAGTAGTCGGTATTTAAAATGTTTGGTTTTCAGTAGGCTACTGAATGAGTGGTTTTTTGTGAGCTACTGAATTGTGAGACTGATTTCATGTACATATGTTTTATATGATCATTATAATCATATTATTTGTGTTTTTTGTTTGTTTTTTTGTATTTGGAATCTAAGAAATTAATATTACACAACGTTTCATGATACATGCCATAATTTGTCAAGAAAATTATTCTATTGAGACATTTAAAAATAATAGTGAGAAATAATAGGTTAAGAACAGTGTTGATTTCTTTATTGCATGTTGTAGTACCAGATACTATTTTGATTTAAACTTTCTGTGTATGAAATAATTAGTTGTGGATAAGAACAAACATCGGGGTGTGTGCAAAATGTTTCAGTAAAATACTAATCTTTCTGGGTTCTTTTTCTGTAGTATGATTTTGATATAATAAGTTTGAAACCCAGTAGATCTAATTTCCTGTACAGTTTTCATTATCATCAGGGATAAGATTAAAATGGAATAATATGTACCTAAATATGCACCTATTAAACATATTGAAAATAAGGACTGAAAATTGAATAGAAAGATAAGAATGGAGAAAATGATTTATATTTAAGATGCATTAATTAAATGGCCTTATAACTTATTTTTTTTATATTATCCATAGAACAAGATTTAATTATTTCTTGTCCTAAGACACATTAGACATTTTTGGGCTGCTGAAAGTAAAATGCTTTTTCTGTAATTGAGCTTTCAGTAAACAAGAGATTAGAAATCACTGTACTAAATTTTCTAGTATGAAGTGTAGTTTTTTATCTCCTAATATTGCGTTGTACTGGCAAAATCTCTGTTCGACAACAGGAAAGTAATGGAGACAATCTTGATCCATGCAATATCTTACAGAGTTAAATCTAGATTACTCCTAAACCAATTAAAACTGCACAAAATTTTAAAATAATGTTCTTATAATAATTTCAAAAGAATATTACACAGAACGTATTGTAAATAAAATGTTGAGCTATGCTACAAAATGTGAGTTTTCCATAAATACATAAAAATATATCTGTACCAGGAAATATAGACAAATATGAATTAGTTTCTAACCACTTCAAAAAACATAATTCATAAACATACAACTAAAGTTTGGTTGTAACTAATGAGCAAACAAATATATAATCACATACAAATCCTAACCCTGATCATCATCATCATCATGAGCTGTTGATTAATAGGCCGGGGGTTAATTCTACCAGTACATTTATTTGTCTATTGGCCTGAATTGTCTCTTTGTCCTGTTGGTTGGTTTATATCTCGACATCATCTTTAGTAGTCTTTTCTCATTTATTCTCTCTGTGTTGGAGAACTATTTATTTTTTATCCTTCCAAAATATTTTTCTCTTCCCTATATTTTATCTGGTGTCCTTATTTCTGTGCTGGTCTTTCAAGGTGACTTCCTTGTGGTCATGTAGAAATCTCATCTATCTTCTAGTTTTTAACAATCTGTGCTTTTCATTTTTCATGTTTCTGATCCATACTATATGAGATTAGTAGTTTTGAAGTTATGTATTTTTAACTTGGTTTCTTGGGACATTTTTTCCCCAAAATGCTCATTTAATTATTATATTTGCTTTGTTGTATCTTTGGATTTTGTTTTCTGTGTTATCTGATCTACATGCAATGATATTGTTGAATTTAGAAACTTGTTCTTTTATTTGCCAATTAATGAAGAATGCAACTCATCTTCACCTTTTCATTTCCATTCCTTGATGTACCATAGCTTTTGCTTTGTTTATATAACCAGTATGAAATTTTTGGTTCAGCTTATTTGAATTCATTCTATATTCCATTTCCAAAACCTGAACATGTCTGGAACAATAAAAATGATTTTTATTCTTTTTAAGTCTGAAAGTGTTATAAGTGTGGAAGTATTTTATTTAGTGTGATATTATGATGTTTGACAATTGACTTGTGAGCACAAGTAATGGTGTTTAGAAATAATATTAAGAATTGCTGCAATATATCATTTCCCTCCCATTCTGGATTAACTGTCCATTAAGCTGTTGTTATTTGACGTAGTTGAAGACTTCCGGTTGGGGGTTGGGCTTATTATCTTTGGTCCTCTCTACAAACAAGTGTGTGGTTTACATTGACCATTTTAGATCACTAATATTGGCAATGTGCATGAATTTTGCATCTTCAGTGAAGTCTTCTCTTGGAAATATTTAAATTCCTTGCAGATTATAGATATCTTGATTTTAACAATTGTTTAATCACATATATAAAATTTCAATATCTGATCTTGCGAAAAGGTATTGGATTTTTTTAGGAATTTTATTTTCTCGCTTTAGGAAAGTAATAAGCTTTGTAAATGTGCAAATGTAAAACAATTTACTTGTAACTTGCATATGGAAGATATAAATACATATTTTGTGTAAAATAAGATACAAACCTGCTAATGTGTAATTCATTTGAACTTGCAGCACACATTGAACGGAATAAATTGAACAGTCGAAGACTGCACAGATTTTGCCTTCAATGAGAAGTAAGAAAGCAAAACATCTTCATTGAAAATTTCGACCGTCTTTTCAGAGCAACATCTCTTAAACAAATCCTTTAATTCCCCCACCACTTCTCCTGCCATTTCCAGAACGTCTGGAGGATTTCCATTCTTTCTTTGGTTAATTTTTTTGGGTTAAATAAAATCAATTTTTAAAACTCAAGTAAAAAAAAGAATTATTTTAAAAAAAATCATGCGATTTAAAAAACAAAATGAGTAGGCAACTGTACTTCGCAAATTCGAATTTCCCGCGCTGAGTTTTCTAGCTCGAGAGATACCAGATGGAAACACGACAAAGGCGCATTCCGTGCCGCGATACGGCTGTTTAAAATTCTGAGAATTCCTTCACATTGTTCAGAGATGTTACAGATGCATGAAAGGCAGCTTTAATTGACGAATTGGTGCTCTAAAATAATTAGTTTTCACACCTAATGCTTTATGATTTGTATTGTTTTACAAGTGATGACTGAAAACTAATTTTGAAAAATAGTTTTGGGGTGATTGTGCGTGAAATATTAACAATTTTTAAACATTTTCTAAAAAACGGTTTCAAATGTTTCGTTTACATATTGTGAGCAACAAAGAACGGTAAAAACTGGTGTTGATCTCATACTCAGCGACCTTTCTCGATTCTTTAAAACCGCGAAAGAAATTTTAAAAAATGTAAAATATTACATAAGTACAATATTGAAGATTTTTTTCCTTATTGAAATCTGTTGTAGAAAATCAGTGTTTGGCGTAGAGGGTAAGTCGCCTGCTTTAGGAGTCATTGATTGCGGGTTAGAAACCTTCCGGCGGATGAATTTTTGACCAGATTTATTGTCTTGAGATAGTCAAATAGAACTTTAAAATAAGTTCACATGCAATATTTTTTTAAAGTAGTATTTGGGAAATATCTACTAGACGTTAATGGAGATAAAAAACATTTTCTTAGAACAGCTCGATTTTTTTTTCTTTACATTTTTTCCAGAGAAAGACCAAGGACACAAAAAATGTCTTTGTTTTCATTTTCGTTGAACTCTGAATTTTCCGAAATTGTAAGGAGTAGAAATATTATTTTTCTTTCAACTACTACAGTATCGGAAATAGAGCTATTTACCTGTTCTTAAAAGTGGGCTCTTGAAGTAAGGTCATATACATTTTTACTTCCTCGTTACGTAGTAAAGAGAAAGTGATGTAATGCTGCGCGCAAACCGGCGAATTTTCTGCGAAAAACCCATATTATTTCAGGGCCCTGGTAAGGAAAGGAATGGACACATCCCGTTGCTAAATTTAAAAAAA